GACCTCCTTGCAAAGGGACAGTTTGTTTAGTCCACCTCGTGTCCTTGTGCATGATTCGTGGGGGGGGGAACCTCCTTGCAAAGGGACAGTTTGTTTAGTCCACCTCGTGTCCTTGTGCATGATTCGTGGGGGGAGGACCTCCTTGCAAAGGGACAGTTTGTTTAGTCCACCTCGTGTCCTTGTGCATGATTCGTGGGGGGGGGGGAGACCTCCTTGCAAAGGGACAGTTTGTTCAGTCCACCTCGTGTCCTTGTGCATGATTCGTGGGGGGGAGGGGACCTCCTTGCAAAGGGACAGTTTGTTTTAGTCCACCTCGTGTCCTTGTGCATGATTTGGGGGGGGACCTCCTTGCAAAGGGACAGTCTGTTTTAGTCCACCTCGTGTCCTTGTGCATGATTTGGGGGGGGACCTCCTTGCAAAGGGACAGTCTGTTTTAGTCCACCTCGTGTCCTTGTGCATGACTCGGGAGGGGTCGTCTTGTCTTCGTATCCTCTGCCAGAGCTCAGATTGGGAGACCTCCATATTAGAGCCATTAGGGTTGCGTAAACCTCGTGTGGGCGGTGCAGGCAGGCATCTGCATATTTCACCAGCTCAGATTTGGGACAAGGGGCTTATTCTCAGCCAAGTCAATGACAAGTTGCAAATTGGCCAACACTAAACATGCAGCAGGCTCCCTGTCGGTACCCGCCACCAAACCTCCCCGCGCCACCTGCGCCACCACCTGCGGACCCTTCCCGGAGCTCCCCGCTCCCTGACAGCGCGCGCTCATCGCTGCAAACATCCCAACGTGTTCTGCACTCTGTCTTCCAACTTTTTTTTTTCTCTTCCCAATTCTTCGCTAAGAATATTTTCGCAGCCAGACAGGCTCATCAAGAACCAACGAAAATATCCAAGTGTGTGTTCGCTCCCCCTCTGTTCTCTGCTGACACCGGAACAAGGGGTCCCTAGGAAAGGAAGTTTGGGAAATAAACGCTGGGTTAAGCAAATTCCATTGCTGCAGAAATTCTGAATGTTCTGATTGCTGACAGGCCGTGGGACCCCAGGTGGCAAGCTCTGAGCACCACTTTGGGAATGTACGGGCATCATAGGCGCCCCCTAGCTGTGGAGCTAGTGCTCCTCAGGATGTCCTTGCAAAAATGGGGGCATGATGCAAGGCAGGTCACAGTGAAAGGTGCACAGACCTTGGGCTCCGTGATATTAAATACATGCCAGGTACTGCCTCGCGCAGCTGTGGGTATTCGGGTATTTCCCACCATATGCAACAGCCCTGGTAAAAAATAAATCAATGTACTCGTGCTTTAAGTTAAAAGTAGTTCTCGGCTATAAGACTTCCTGGGGCGAATGCTTTCTTTGGAGGCTCAAGGATGAAGTTGGCATTTATGAGCACTGAGTTCTTGAGCTCAGCTCTGGGGAGTGGGCTGTGTAATGGAATGCATGCGTCACTAGACACTGGGGACCCTAAGGATTGCCGGTCCTGCATTCTGAGCAGTTGAGGTGGTGGCATTGGGACACTTTGTCCCTGTCTGCACGGACCTCCCGCCCTGGCCGTGTGGACCACCTGGCTCAGACCTCCCGGAGACTTCCTGCTGCCATCACTTTGGTGTCCCCTTCTCCCAGGCCAGAGACTGGCCCCAGCTCTCCGCCGCGTTCAGAGTTAGTCACGACCCCTCTCAGCACATTTCTTCTATAATAAGGATCCCTTCCGACTATAATTTTCTTTCAGGAGAAAATTAATTTCTGAAGGAATGACACACACCACTGATGTAAAAATAAAGAAAAACAAATAAAATGTCTGTACGTGTGATTCTCCTCTGAGCCATTTTAAAAAACCAAAAGCTGAATACTGGTTTATAATTCTGCATTCTTAATGTGTTTTTACGTATTACTATGAGCGAGAATTGTTCTTTTTGTAACTGTAGAATGACAGTCCTTACTACTAAAGAAATGCATGATTACAGCCAGCTGTCCCTGTGACTTGATGCGGTGCAGTGACCGGCGGGTCGAAGCTTTACCAGGGCAGTGGAGGTCTAAGAGGGGGGAGAGTGAAATTTAAAATCCCTTGATTAATGTTTCTCATATGAGAAAAATTACACTTTGCTAAAATGGAAGAATTTTCCTGATCTGTGTGGTGAAGTAGTATTTGGCGAGAATACTCAGCAAGTGATACTGAATCCATGGCTGAGGGCAAAGCCTTGACCCCTGTGAAGGTCTTCATTTATTGGCATTGCTGTTTATATAGGGAGGACCGAAAGGTGCTGGGAAAGCTCTCGGACATTTATTGGCATTGCTGTTTATATAGGGAGGACCAAAAGGTGCTGGGAAAGCTCTCTGACAGTCGGCCTTACCCTACTCACCAGCCCTGGCTGGCTGATCCTCAGTGGGGGCCAGGCCATGGCTCAGGGGTGGGGGGCATACCTTTCAAGCAACCCTGGGAACTCAAACTTTGGTACAAAGATCCAGGATGATATATATTTTCCTAGAATACAAAAGTGTAAGTATTTTGTGTTTTTGGATGACTACCTCAAACATATGCTTAAAGTCAATTCTTAAAGTTGGGGTTCATTCAGGGATTTCCTTTTTTTTTTTACAGTCTGCAGTGAATTATCATTTCAACTGTGGGTCTTTTTTCCATAAAAGCACTTTGCATTGGTATTGAAAAGATTACATTCTTTTGGCTTCGGAGAAATATTTCCTGTTCAGTGCAGGCTATGAAAGCCTGTTAGCATTCCACATCTGGGAGCCCTGTGGGGTCTGCCTTCCATCACCACCCAGGAGAACACACAGCCTGGCCTGCACTGCCCAAGTGTGCCCTCAAGGTTCAGGGGGGTGGGCGGGGCCTCCTTCCTCCCTGGGATGCAGGCAGGGTTACGCGCATCTGTGTGCGTACATGCGTGTGTGTATGCATGTGTGTGTGTGTGCTTGAGTGTGTGTGTCTGTATGTGTGCACGCATGTGCGCGTGTGTGTGCATGTGCATGTGTGTGTGTGTCTGTGTGTGCGCATGCACGTGTGCCTGCCTTCTGAGTTGGGGAGGGGTCTTCCTTGTCTTGGGTGTGGGGAGATACCTCTCTCATCCCAGGGCGGGGTCTTCCTTCCCGGCGGATATTGGGTGCCCCCACCCTCTCCCTCATTTAGCTGCTCCTTTTCACTCTGGCCCAGTTTTCCGAAAAGCGAACCCAAACATTTTCAGTGTAAGAGGAGAAGACAGGAGAGTCTTGGCTTCCCCTTGTCCCTCGGGCTGGCTTGGGGTGCATGCAGCAGGCCACATGGGGGAGGGTACAGGGGTCTGCACCTCGCTTCCAGGTTTTAAAGGGGAACCAAATGTGGGTGCCATGCTGCGGTGTGAACACTGAGATACTCGGATATCCCTGTCATGGAGGGAGGCTCATTTATGTCCTTGGTGCCCTGCTCCCCAGGGGCAGGCCCACGCAGTGCCCACTCAGGCTCGATTCTTCCGTCCAGGCAGCAGAACCAGAGGGGCCTGGGCACCCTGGGGTACATTCACTGAGCTCTCTGCGGGGGTCTCGCGGCCCCAGCAGCGTGACCGGCAGGGGAAGGGTGCCGGGTGTGTGAGGGGCAGACACACTCTCTGCTTTCCCTGACCACGCGCGGCCAGAGCCCGTGCCAGGCAGCCCTTGGCAGGCTACAGTGGGAGCAGGCAGCGGCCCCCTCGGCCTCCCCAGGGGCAGCCAGGCCTCTGGGCCCAGGGTCTTGGGCAAGGTGCCCTCACCCTGTGCCCTTCCAGGAAGACTGGGACAACTGCAGTGTCCTCCCTGTCACGAGGGCTCTCGAGGAGCCAAGCCCAGCTTCTCCGTAGGGCTGGTTGACAGGGCTCTCTGTCAGCCCTCAACCCCACGAGCGTGGCCTGAAGGCCCGGATCTGACACACAGACCTCCCGAGACGGGGCCAGCACCAGAGTGAAAGTAGGGGGATGTCACTTGCTGCTTAAGAAGTGGACATTCCTGGGGGCGTTGTGAGCGAGGTAGCTGTGGACGTGGATTTCCTGGGACAAGCCTGCAGCGTGATGGGGCCCAGGGTGGACGCAGCCCTCTCTCCAGTCTGTTCCTATTAGTGGATTTGAATGTGCACCAAATCTTCTCTCATACGGGTGGGAAGCCACTTGAGCAAGGAGATGAAATGAAGAGCAGTTGGAACAGAGCTCAGCTGAAAGACCACCCAGATTGCAGAAGGGGAAAGGCACAGGGAGGGGTCTTCGTGGGGGCGGGTCAGGGGAGAGAAGGCTGCACTCTGCCCTGAGGAGCCCTCCCCTGGTGCAGGTGGAGGGGTGGAGCTGCCTCTGCTTGAAGGGCCAAGTTCAAGGTGTGTGAGGTCCTACAGGACACAGAGGTGGTGAAGGGTAGTAATGCCCACCCTAGGCCCAGCTGGGATTTGAACACAGGACTCAGTGACCTCCTTAGCCCTTGCCTTTGGGGGCTGCAGGAGGCTCCTGGGTGTGCTGGCCTTTCAGAGGGGCCTTGAGGATGGCAAGGCAGAGGGGCTGGGGACTCGGGGCGCTGCAGGGGCGGGGCTTGTTGGGCCTCAGGGCTCGGTGCGGGAAACTGTTTCAGGGGATCACTGACAACCTGAGCATTTCCGTGGGCCTTGGAATTCAGCAGATCCTCATGGCCTGCTGTCGCCACTGCCTAGCCAGGGTTCTTCTCTCCAGGCCTCAGCGTCCTCCGCTGCAGAGTGGGCGCCTCGGCCCAGGGACTGCTAGTTTAGTTGTGATTGAGACTGTGATCGATGGATGGACAGGAGGCGGGGGTGAGGCCAGAGGCTTCTAGGAGACCCCGAGGCCTGAACTAAGAGCATCAGGACGACTGGAGAGGTCACGCAGGCGGAGTCCGATTTCAGTGACAGGTTTGAAGTGGCTTCTGATAAGGAACCATCTGGCTCGGATCCATCTGGCTCCTGAGCTCTCCAGGAAATCTTCAAGAAATAAGTGACTTTCCCTTTCACAAGAGTCAGACTGATGCCGTTTCTTGTCTCCTTCGTCCCCCAGCAGGCCTGTACCCAGTGGACATTTTGGACGATGACCCCGAAGGGCACCGGGAAGCGGCTCTGGCTTACTATGCCACACTCAGGGGAGGGGCCCCGCCCCCAGCAGCGGCCCTCTCTCTGCCCGCCGGGGAGCAGGTATGTCTGACCTTCCCTGTTGGCAGAGAGCTCTGGAAAATCAAATATATTTATGGGAAAGTAAAATGTTAGTGAAACAGGATGACGGATTTAAAGGAAACCTTCTGGAGTCCTGCACGGAAGTCTGGTTCTGCAAGGCAGTGAGCTATGCAGCCTGCTGCGAATCCCATGTCTATCCCTTACGAGCTGTGTGACCTTGAGCAAGTGTCTTAACCTCTCAGATCTTGGTACGCTCACCTCTAAAACTGGGACAGTGACGAAGCTTGCCTCACACTGTGGTTATGAGAATTAAATTAGACGCTGCATGCAAATGCCTGGCTGGGCCTCAGTTTCCCCATTTGTAAAGCAAGGGGATCGATGGGTCTTTGGTCTCTGAGTTTTGGCTTAGTTCTAAAATGTTGTGATTTAGAATTATATTACACCAATTGGAAGGAAGTGATAGTCATTGCAGTTTTTAGCACTGACAAGATTGCATTTTGAGTATGCACTAGGAAGGACAGGAGAGAAATGATAATTGTTTATTAGGACGGTGGGACTGTGGGCGGAATGTAAAAACTGTGTTACTTCGAAGGTATTCTTTTTTCCCACCGTAGTAAGTAAAAGGAATCTGTATGGAAGTCAGGCACCTTTCTTTCAGATTTGAGCTGATCTATTGAAAGAGACAAGATTCTCTTGTTTTGTGGCCATAAGATCTCACTCCTCCCAGAAGGTGCTGCTCTCCAGCAGGTGGCGCTGGTTGAGGAAGAGAGGGATTTACTTCACTGTACTGCGGTGGTTTCAGAGTGAATGGAAACAGTTTACTCAGTGTGGCTTCCTTGAGATTTGTACTCAGCTCCTAGAAGAATCCAGTCCCCGGGGGTGGTTGCTCCTGGTTAATCCGCAGAGGTGCTGCACTCACACGCTTTCGGCGCCCCCTAGTGGCGTTTAAAGCAGGAAAGCAAGCAAGCTCTTGGTGAAGGCCGGGGCTTTACTGTTAGGGAGCTGGGGGAGCCCAGGGTTGGATGGAGGGTGGGAAATGCTAGGTCACCTGAGCCGGGTGGTGAAATGCAAGTTAGCCCTGAAGTACTTAAGGATGCAGAGTTGACCATCTGCTTTTACTCCACACTTATTTATGGATCACATTACTTTCTGAAAGCCGAATATGTTATTACATGCTCAGTATGGGAATACTTTGTGTTATTAGCAAGAACATAATAAAATAGGGCGGTTACCAAATTGAAGTTTTTTTTAATGTGATAGAAATCCTGGCGTGACTTTATATCTATTCGCTTCTCCCCTTCTAAAGAAAGTTTTATGAAAATAATCTTTGGTTTCATAGCCTTTTTAGCAGCTAATTAAGAAATGATAGTAATCCACGACCACTTACCAGGTTGAAACAGTCTAATTTGGGATGGTATTGGACCTCCTTTTGGCAATTTTCACTTTTCTTGAATCCAGAGAGACTTTTCAAAACAACAAAAAAAAGGTGCATCACAGCATGTCACTCTGGTCGTCCTAAAAGTCTCCTCTTGTCATAAGTTACTCGGTTTCCAGGCTTGGAATTGCCCTATGTCATTTAAAATGCAGCCATGCCCTGGCCAGTTTGGCTCAGCGGTTAGAGCATTGGCCTGTGGTCCGGAGAGACCGGGTTCGGTTCCCGCTAAGGGCATCTACCTCGGTTGCAGTTTGTCCCGGGCCCTGGTTGGGTCGTGTGGGTGGCAGCCACTCGATGTGTCCCTTTCATGTCGATGTTTCTCTCTCTCTCTCTCTCTCTCCCTCCCACTCTATCTGAACAAAATATTTAAAAAAAAAAAAAAGTGTCTTTGGGTGAGGATAAAAGTAAAATAAAATAAAATGCAGCCACACTTACCGACTTTCCTGGTTATAAAATAGTGGGTGCTGATTGTAAAATATTCGGGAACTATAGCCAAGGCCAGAGGAAGTAAAATCGCCCACCGTTCACCTCCGGAAACATGTTGGACAAGGTCCCATTCAGTTTCTATCTCTGTGTTTGTGTTTCAACACTCAGATCACAGTCTGAATGCGAGAGTGTCTGTAATCAGCCTCTTACCACGTTAATACAGTGCTTCACGCACGTGGCGTCCAGTGGCCCTGTCTCGGCCGTGTGGTGGGTGAGCCATGCTTCCGATAACCGCGGGGGGAGGGCCAGTGTGGGAGCCCGTCAGAGGTGCTTTGAGGACAGGGAGGCGAGAAGGTGTTCGTGGGTGCCAGGACTCGTCAGGGAGCGAGTCTCAGACTGCAGAGCCTGCTGCCGATGTCTGTAGGCCACCGGCCGGCCGCGCTCAGCCTTCACACTCTTTCCTTCCTGGGTGGCCCCCGCCTCGGGTTCCAGAACAGACTTTGCGACGGGATGTGCTGACCTCTCGCCCTGGGAGCTGGGAGCTGTGGGCCCCGAAGAAAGGGCTTGGGATGTGGGCACTTGAAGGAGCAGCCTGGGCAGTCCCGGCGTGAGCGAGACCCCGCCGTGCTTCCTGCTGCCTCACTCATTCCTGAGCAGACAGGCCTGGCTCTGAGCTGCTCTGACACCGCTGCAGCCACCCGAGCTGCATCGCGGGTGGACGCACGGGCCTGCCCATGCAGTGGCCCCGGGAGGACAGTGGAGACGGGGTGGCAGGCGCACCCTCTGCTGTCCTCGGCCGAGGAAGCACGGGACGGAAAGGCTTCTGCGGAGCTGGGGTTCAGTCGGTGCCTGGATGGAAAGCAGGGGACGGGAAGGAGCAGGTCGGCGGGGCGGCGAGGCCAAGAGCCTTTGTGGTCTGACCCTTCGCGCTGAGCCGCGTGGGGAGTCTCCCGTGTTTCTGTCGCCTGCATCCTGCAGACTGACCTCTCCGCCAACACTGTGCTAATTGATATGTGCCTCCCTACACCCCCCCACCACGGAAGAACGAAACGGTTGTGTCCTATTTTCCAGGTTCATCTCGAAGCCGCATCCGTCTGCCTTTGCACTTTGCACCGTGACGAACCTCGGCATAAAATCTTGGTCTTGGTCAGTCCCCAGGACACAAAGACAGGTGGGTAGCTGCTAATGGCTTTGGCACACGGATCAGACCGGTGTTCACAGCTCGAACCGGACGCATAGGAGCTGGTGCTCTGCACGCCGGCTGGAAGAACATCGGGGCACAGGTGACTCCTTCCCACCTTTCGAGACGGACACGCGTCCCTTCTGTTCCACGAACGTCGAGTTTGTATTGACACTCGCACACTCGCACCCACAGCGACGCCGCTCAGGCCTGCCTTTCAGGGCGGCACGTGCTTCTGGTCCCGTGCACGGGGCGGGGTGGGGACTTTAGGGGGAGCCCTATGAAGCACAGGGACCATTTTTATTCCGGACAGAGGAGGGAATAAGGCCTCCGATGGTCCGGTAACTTGGCCAGGGCCACCGCAGCGTCAAGGGTTTCGGCAAGGTGATGATGGGGTGGCGCTTTGTTTGTGGCGGTGATGTTCACGTCACCTGTACTCGGACCCTCCTCCCCTGTATCGTGAGGAGACACGTGTGACTGCTCTGGGCCCCTCCGAGGGGTCTTCCAGGGAGGCTGAAGCCACTCCAGCTGCGTCGCACATGGCGCTGGGCTCTGGGGCTGCTGGCCGGGCGGGAGGTGGGCAGGAGGGGAGGGCTGGAGCCGTAAGCAAAGCACCCATGTCTGACCTCAGGGGAGTCCCAACTTAAATTCCATCTTATTCGGAAAATGTCTCCTTCATTCGCTGTTTCTGTATTTTATAGATTTCCTACAATGATCATGAATGGCCCTTTTTTCCTTCTATTTATCTTCAGGGGGGGGGGGCGTGCGGAGAGGGAGACATCAACGTGAGAAAGACACATCAACTGTTTGCCTCCCACACGACCCGACCAGGGCTGGGGACAAACCGCAACCGAGGTACATGCCTTTGACCAGAATGGCACCTGCTACTCATTGGTCCGCAGGCCGATGCTCTAACCACTAAGCAACCGGCCAGGGCTGAATGGCTGTTTTAGTAAGAGATCAAAAACCCACCCCGGCCCTTCCTCAGCCAGCCCTCCTCGAACGATGTGCCTGGCGGAAGTGAGGGCTGGAGGTCTTCAGGGGCAGTTTGCAGGGGGCCTCCGTCCGCTCTCCGTCTGCCCCCAGACCTTTGCCTGTTGCCCTGTGTGTCAGTCTGTGGTCTGCTCAGAGGATGCTCGGCCTCACTGCTGTCTGGAAGCCCGAGGTGACGTCCTTGCCCTGGGAAAGCCATGTCCTTCTGCTGGTCCTGAGACCAGAGTGTGCTTAGCTCGCCGTCTGGGAGTCGTGGGCGCGCTGCCTCCAAGGCTGGGGGTGGCCGAGCGGGGCGACAGCCTTCTGGTCAAGGCTCAGGACATCTGCTCCCCCCTGGCAAGCCCAGGCCTCCACCCCCAGGTTAGAGACGAGTAACAAGTTAGTGACAAGATGTGCCCACAGGGGCTTTTTGGGGAACAGATTGTCACAAACTCCCAAATACCATGTGCCGACTTGAAGAAAATGTTCAGATATCAGCAGCCCTCCCCCGGCCTTTCTCCAGCATCAACAGAGTTCTGGGTGCCGGTCCTCAGCCGCAGTTTGCTAATGTAAACGTAGGACCGAGTCTCCTAAACCTGTTCCCTGCTAATACTGGGCTTAATTTGTGGCTGCTTTCGAGAACGTAGTATAATAAATATTCATAAGCTCCGAGAAGTCTCACTCTGGACCTTCCTGCCATCTGCACTTTAAATAAAGTTTCCAAGTGCTCCCCAAAGTGCCAGGGCTGTATGGTAGCTGCAGTTTAGCAAGAGCTCTGAAAAGCACCTCAGGTGCTCCCCACACCTTGCGTCCTTTCGTTTGGTACTGGAAGCACACACGCGTGTAACTGTATCTCTTGCGGCCTGAAGCACGTGGACTTGGAAGTAGCCGGGTCCTCTGCACGGCTTTCGGTCTTTCACCCTCGTGCTTGGCTGTGATGTGGCGACCACAGTTGCTAGTTCCTTTGTGCCTTTCCCGCAGCAGCTGTAGCTGTAAAGGCCGTGTGTGTGTGTGTGTGTGTGTGTGTGTGTGTGTGCGCTTACATGGAGGTGAAAAGGACCAGAGCTGTTTGATAAGTGCCAAGTACGAGTTAGTGATGAGCTGGTTGAATCCATCACAGGAACTTCTGATAATCCCGTGAGCAAAAAGGAGACGCATCCTGGGGCTGTGAGTTTCCGGTTGGTTGGCGGGCGGTTGTGGCTCAGGGCAGATGCTCTTAGGAGGTGGGTGATGAAGCTCCCCCCACACCCAGAAACTGGGCGTGCACGCCCTGTGCTCCCCGTGGGTCTCATTCCTGACTGTGTCTGTAATCGGAGGCTGGTCTGTGTCACCCAGAGATAGGACCCCTCTTCCCTCCTCAGGGGTCAGCCCCATCCTTAGTGTGGCCCAGAAGTGACCTCATTAACATAACAAGAGACACCTTTATCCTGCTCATCACTTAAGAAATTCCAAGGGTTTTAGAAGTTCTGTGATGGAACCTGGGATGAAGACCACATGTATGTATAACTTTTATCATAAATCACAGTATCACACAAATCCTCTGCCCATTAAAACAATTTTTTTTTCTTTATGGATTTTAGAGAAAGGGAGAGGGAGAGAGAGAGAGAAACATTGATGAGAGAGAACATCGACTGGCCGCCTCCTGCATACCTCCCCCTGGGGATCGGGCCCACAACCTGGGCATGTGCCCTGACCTGGAATCGAACCGGGAACCTCTTGGTGCATGGGTCATGCTCAACCACTGAGCCACACTGGCCGGGCCTTCTGCCCATTTTTTAATCACCTTTTTTCCTCTGTCTTGAGACTGATAGAAAATGTCAGTTTGGGAGGGAGTCAGACCAAGGAGACCTAGTGCCACAATGCTGTGGAAGTTTCCAGAACAAGGGGACCTTGGGTGTTGCTGGTTCTTGGCAGGGAGGTGGTGGTCTGTTCCAAAGGGGGGCCGGAGGCCACTTCCTGGGACTCCTGGCCCTCTCCCCTGGGCCCAGGCTGCTGGTGGCACACAAAGGTCACAGAGGCTGACCCTCTGCCTGCAGAGCTGGGGCTCTGGGCCTTCAGAGGGGACCCGGGGAGCAGGCCCCACTCCCTCCGAGGCAGCTCCCAGCCGTCCAAGTCTGACCAGTCCCTCTGTGCACGTTCTGACGTTTCCTCCAAAACGTCGCATTGTGCCCGGCCCCTGCCTGCAGGGGGGCCGTGCGCGGGCAGCGAGAAAGGTGCGCAGTGGTGTTGGGGGCCGGCTCCCGTCTCGGAGGAGCCACCCGTCGCGAATGCCCTGCTCACGGCCGGCGCTGCCCCGGGGAGATGCCGAGGGCCGGCCGGCGCAGGGGTGGGAAGCAGTGGACTGACGGGGTTTGGGGTGGCTGGAGGGGAGGGGAGAGGCCTGGGAATGACCCGGGGTTCGGGGGGGCTTGGTGGCGGCTGATCTGAGGGAGATCGGAGCTGTTTGAGGGGACGGCTCACATCACTTTGCTCTTCTGGGCTCTTCCCAGGTGGTGGTTGGTGACTCCTCGCAGCTCCCCGCGTGGGGAGACCGGAGTGGGCGGGGGAGGCAGGAGGCCGAGAAGAGAGGCAGAGGTGGGCCTCCGGGAGGAGGGGGGCAGGGAGGCCAAGAAGAGAGGCAGAGGCGGGCCTCCGGGAGGAGGGGGGCAGGGAGGCCAAGAAGAGAGGCAGAGGCGGGCCTCCGGGAGGAGGGGGGCAGGGAGGCCAAGAAGAGAGGCAGAGGCGGGCCTCCGGGAGGAGGGGGGCAGGGAGGCCGAGAAGAGAGGCAGAGGCGGGCCTCCGGGAGGAGGGGGGCAGGGAGGCCAAGAAGAGAGGCAGAGGCGGGCCTCCGGGAGGAGGGGGGCAGGGAGGCCAAGAAGAGAGGCAGAGGCGGGCCTCCGGGAGGAGGGGGGCAGGGAGGCCGAGAAGAGAGGCAGAGGCGGGCCTCCGGGAGCAGGGAGGCAGGGGGTGAGCCCGGCTGCTCCCGCGGGTCGCCTCCCTGAGGACGCCTCCCCTGGCCGCTCCGGGACGCCCTGGCCCGGCTGTCAGCCCTCAGGTGGCTGCTGCGTTCTCTCCTTTCTGGTGACTGCCTCCCAGGTGTGTCCCGCGAACAACACGCAGGGGATCGGAAGTGATGGTTTTCCTGGAAAATCTCCCCACTACAGCCCAGCAGTGAGGGCAGGGGCCAGGCAGTCGTTGGAGGAAACTGGGGTCCTGGGGACCCTTCCTAGGGGCTGTCGTGGGCCGGCAGGGATGGCGACACGGAGGGCCGGGCCAGCCCTTCTCTGGGCTGCGTCTGGGGCAGGTGCGTGGTGGGTCAGCAGGGGTGGGGGGTACAAAGTGAGGTGTGCCCCGGGTGCCCAGAGAACTCCCTCAGAACTGGGGGACCCTTTCTGCGACACCCCTCGCCCCTTAGCAAGCTGCTCGGATTTGGGGGAGGGTCAGAGGGGAAGTCCAGAATTTCTGACCTGGTCCTGCCTGTGTGGAGGGACAGGCCTGGCCTCCCCGCGGTGGGGCCAGACACCAGCTCCGGCCCGCAGGTCGGCCTGTCCGCCTCAGTGCCGTGGTGGTTCACGGATCCAGTGAAAACAAGCTGAGGTGGTCGGCGTGCAGGGCCCGTGGACCCGGTGAGATCTGAGTTGTCGAACGTGGAGAAGTAATTGCCATTTTCCTGGCGTTCAGAGGTGATGGCCCTGCCCCCCCCCCCCCGACCCCAGGCTCACCAGCACGGAGTATCCAGGGACCCCCGGGGCTAGCAGCCGCTCATGACCCTGCGGACACTGGCTCTTTATGGTCGGGTCTGTGCTGGCTTTGTCGCAGATGGTGAGATTCCGTTCCTTTTATGGCTGAGTAACAGCCCATTGCGTGTCTGCGCCCTCATCCAGTCGCCTGCAGAACTACCACGGGCTGGCTTTCTGGATGGTGCCGAAGGGAACCTCAGCCGGGGACGGGTCCCCCTCTGCCACTTCCACATTGGTGGGGTCCCACGTAAGGGGGTGTGACAGCTTGGGAGTCTGGCCAGAAACCCAGCCTCGATTTCA